TCTTGTGTTTTGGGGTGGGTTGCCCCTCCCTGAACCCTAAACCCTAAACCCTCAACCCAAAAACCTAAACCCTAAACTATAAACTCTAAACCCTAAACCCTAAACCCTGATTCAGCTTAGGGTTTCGGGGCCCGGTGTTTGAGCGCTCGGGAGGTGACGGGCTTGACGATGGCCAGGCCGGCGCAGCGCGGCAACAGCAGAGTCCCCAAACCATCAGACCCAACTAACTTACATTCATAAACACAAAGTGCAGGCATCCACGACCCTAAACCCTAAACCCTAAATTCTAAACCCTAAACCCAAACCCTAAACCCAAAACCCAAAACCCTACACCCCAAGCCCTAAGACGTAAACCCCAGCTCAAGCCCTACTCGTACAGAGTCCCCTACGCAAACTGAAGTTGGTCGGCCCAGAGTCCAAACGACAAAGCCCTAAAAAAACCTAATACTGCAGGGGCTTGAAGAATTAGAATAGGGTCTTGGCGGGTTTTTCCTATAGTATGATTGTAGAGGGGACCATAAGGGAATACGATGTGTAATTCTTCCGACCCCTATAGTAAGCTCGGGTTGAGAGGGTTTGCCATGGGAATGGTTTAGGGTTTAGGGTTTAGGGTTTAGGGTTTAGGGTTTAGGGTTTAGGGTTTAGGGTTTAGGGTTTAGGGTTTAGGGTTTAGGGTTAGAGGATTAGGATTTAGCGTTCAGGGATTGGGGCTCTTTCTTAACATGTCGAACAAGTGGAGATTGGGTTGTAGTGGTGACCATAGAGGGACCCAACTTTAGACAACCCTCATTGTTATCTTTCTTGTCTTCGAGCAGCAGCGGGACGAAACTAAAACATTGCTAAAGCAAATCAGGAGACTACGAGGCATTTGCTGAGCAATTGCCCAGCACTCTTTTGGTCATGATCTCACGAAGGCGGTCCCTTGGGAGGTTTCCCGAAACCCATATTCCCCATGACGAGTGAGAAGCAGCAAATGCAAAGCTGCTGAGTTCTCGTGGAACCGATGCTTTCGGGTTTAGGGTTCGCCCTAAACCCTAAACCCTATAGACCCTAAACCCTAAACCCTCAACCCTAAACCCTAAACCCAGGGCGTTTCGACGTACGTTGAGACGACTTTGACTTTGACAGGACTGGGCCCGCGGTCATGACCATGCCAAAAGCCTCTCTGCACAGTGACACAGCGGAGCTAATTAGTTTATGGGGATGAACCCGAGGCCTGGAATCATATACCACCCCCACACCTCATCTTTGTTTTAAAGCCCCAATTATGTGCATACATATTACATACACACACATACACACACACACACACACATATATATATATATACATATATATATATATATGGGTACATGCCTATCTCCCCCCCTACCTTTTGTGCAATTTCCGTCTTTTGCACTTTGTCTGCACTCGATGTTTCCATTATGTGTGCCAAAACCCCACCCGCACCAACGTACCAACGTCCCAATCATTTGAGCCCATGATTGGGACAAAACCCCAGCCGCACCAACGTACCAACGTCCCAATCATGTGGGCCCATGATTGGGACAAAACCCCAACCGCACCAACGCACCAACGTCCCAATCATTTGAGCCCATGATTGGAACAAGAACCCGACCGCACCAATGTACCAACGTCCCAATCATTTCGGCCTATGATTGCACGGGATGAACTAATGTACCAATGTACCAATGTACCAATCATTTCGGCCCATGATTGGTGCATAGGATGTTTGTACCAATCATGGGCCCAAATCATTGGTACATTGGTACATTGGTACATTGGGTCATGGGTCGTCCTTTGCACCAATCATGGGCCCAAATCATTGGTACATTGGTACATTGGTACATTGGGTCATGGGTCGTCCTTTGCACCAATCATGGGCCCAAATCATTGGTACATTGGTTCATCATGGGTCGTTCTTTGCACCAATCATGGGCCCAAATCATTGGTACATTGGTACATTGGTACATTGGGTCATGGGTCGTCCTTTGCACCAATCATGGGCCCAAATCATTGGTACATTGGTTCATTGGTTACATTGGGTCATGGGTCGTCCTTTGCACCAATCATGGGCCCAAATCATTGGTACATTGGTACATTGGTACATTGGGTCATGGGTCGTCCTTTGCACCAATCATGGGCCCAAATCATTGGTACATTGGTTCATTGGTTCATTGGTTCGTTGCTGCGTTGGCACTGTCAGTAAACCCTAAACCCTCTGTGTATGTATGTAGGGTGTATGTGTTGCATGAAAAGGTAGAACTTCTACCCACGTCGCCGTGTAGGTATATTATTCTTATTGTATATCAAATAGAGAAAGTGTAGAGGGAAGGACGGTATTCTCAAACCATAAAACTAGGAAGCATTTGATGGCATAGGGTAATGCGAACAAATCCATTATATGTAGGCCCCAGGGAAGCGAGAACACTGTGAGCAAATACCTCTATTCGTCCAAGATTTGGGCCAAACCGTATTCGTTTTAAATTTAGTTAAACAACAACGTTGGCTATCAACCCTAAACCCATGCCAAGGTGACTCGACTTCTACACCAACTTCTTCGGTTTTTTGGGGGGAGTGTTCAGGGTACAGTAGCTATAATAGAACACCAAAGGTGTTTATAAACAGGGTCGGTGATTATAAACAGGTGTTGTGTTAAGTATAGAATACAAGTATATTCAATACTCATTATACCTTTTCTTTTGATCAACACCACATACGCCCCAGGTCGGTCCAAGGAAATAGGGAAAGGAGATTGCTCAGAGTATTCTCGCATCCCCGGGGCTTATAGTCAAAGATTTTTCGCATCACCCTATGCGCTGGAATACTTCCTAGTCTTATGGCTCGAGACTTACAATCCTTCCTTCTCCATTATCTGTATTTGACATACAATACATACACCCTATATACACATGATGTGGGTACTTCCTTGTACTTACTTTTCCTGCATTTCCACAGAAGGCAAGCCCTACACTCTACAAACATAGGCATAACCCAATGGAAATTAGGGTTTAGGGATTTACGCCTCAAGCCCTCAGAGCCTTAAACCTTTAAGGTTTAAACTTTATAGGCGGGGTTTAAACTTTATAGGGCTAACCCCGTCAGGGCTTCAGAGAGAAACCCTGAAAAACCCAAAGCCTTTAAACCCTGTTGAAGGTTTACATGCCTAAACCTGAGGCATCGATTCCTAAGCTTTATATGCATTTAAACCGACTGGGCATTTATGCCTTCAGCGCCTATAGCGTGAAAACCTTTGAACCTTTCAGAGCCCTATAGGGTTTGAGGGTTCTGACCCTAAAAGGGTTTAAGGTTCAAATGCCTAAACCTTAAACCCTCAAGGTTTAACTCGTTTAAACTCTCAAGTCTTCACGACTAAACCTTCAAACCTTAACCCTATAGGGTTTAAAGGTGAAGGGTGATGTGGTTCTTTGCATTTGCACGGGAGGCAAGCCCTACATATACAAACATAGGCATAACCCTATAGGAATTAGGGTTTGGGGATTTAAGCCTCAAGCCCTCTAAGCCTTAAACCTTTAAGGTTTAAACTCTCTAGGCAGGGTTTAAACCCCCTATAGGGCTAACCCCGTTAGGGCTTTAGAGGCAAACCCTGAAAAGCCCTAAGCCTTTAAACCCTATAGGTTTAAATGCCTAAACCTGAGGCAAAGATTCCTAAACTTTATGTGCGCTTAAACCTAAAGTCTGGGCATTTATACCTTCAGCGCCTATAGCGTGAAAACCTTTGAACCTTTCAGAGCCCTATAGGGCTTTAGGGTTCTGACCCTAAAAGGGTTTAAGGTTCAAATGCCTAAACCTTAAACCCTTAAGGTTTAAATTCTACATATGCGCTTAAGTTTGAACTCCTCAGTCTTAACGCCTAAACCTTTAAACCTGAACCCTATGGGGTTTAAAGGTTAAGGGTTTAGGTTTATTTGTCGGCTTAAGTTTAAATGCCTAAATGTTAAACCCTAAACCATTAAACCTTAAACCCTATAGGGTTTAAAGTTTAAGGGTTACGTCTAATTGACGGCTTAGGCTTAAATGCCTAAATCTTAAACCCCAAGCTTTTAAATGTATACATCAGGGAATGGGGTCTGACCCGACGTCTTGATCGAATAAGGCGTTGATAAATCTGAGCCTTAAACGAGTAGGGTTTATGAGCTATTTACTTGTGATGCTTGAGGCTAGTTATAAATGAGTCTTATCCTGAAAAAAAAGATAACTCTTTCGGGGGGCCCTTTGGGAAACATTGAGATGAACACCCACATACTTGCGAGCAAGTCGGGCTTTTGGAAGGCCCAGAGCCCGGATCATAGTGAAAGGATATTTGCTCACAGTACTCTTCCTTCCCCGGGGCCTACATGCAATAGATCTATTCGCATCACCCTATGCCCTCAAATACTTCCCAGTCTTACGGGCGTTTCCGGGTGGTAGGGTTTCTAGATGTTTGCGGTGACTGCGTTTATGAGCAGTGGCTGTGTTTATAAACAGTAGCTGTGTCTATGGACATGGCTGTGCTATAATTATTAGGCTACTGTACCAAGACACGGAAAGACCGGCTACTGTATGAAGACATTGAAAGAGTGGGGGGGGGGGGATAGGCGGCAGCCCATATATACATGTGTATATATATATATATATCCTGAAGCCGGGTGTTGTTTGGTCGTCCTCAGAATTTCCAGGCTCTCACTAGAACGAAAAGAGCGGAAGACGGGGCTGCCTTTCCACCCACATCTTAGAAGGCTGGGCTTTAATGGCTGCCTCCTGCTCGACAGCTCAGGACCCCCTGTGGCAAGCTCACCATTTCTAGACCTGCAAAGAAGGCACCAACAGAACGGTCCTTTCAAAGTTAGATCATGAGGTTCTTGAGGGATCCTGCTACTCTCTGTAGAAGGGGCATGAGGCTACTCCTGGGCATCCTTGTCTTGAATCTTGCTTGAACCCTTCTTCGCGCGCGCAGGAGGTCCCATCGTCACAGAGAAAATCGGTAAGGTCACGCGCAGCTAGAGGCACGGTGGGTCAGGCAAGTCCTTTGGCAACTGCGGATAGCGCTTTGCGAACAGGTCGATGACCTGGGACTGTTCGCATGTATGCATTTGGAGCTTAGCGCTTGGGGAAGCAAGTAGGGTAAGGTATAAGTTGCAAGTTATCGTTCCGGGCTTCCTTCCTACGAAAAAAAAGCACAAGGAAACCGCCTAAACCCTAAACGCTAAACCCGAAAAAACTTCCGGCCAAGGTGCCACTCCAAAACCCTGCTAAGGGGTATAAGGAGGGATTCCCCTATATACCCCTAATATATACCTTAAATAGTCCCCATATACCTAAGTAGCCCAAATAGCCCCCTGAATAACCCCTGAGGTCCCTTATAAAGGGTCCCTCCTTTGGTCTCAAAACCCTAAACCCTAAAAGCCCTTGAAAGACCTGCCTCGGAGGTTTATGGGTCGTTATACGTAGGGTTGGAAGTAGAGGAAACTGCACCAAAAACCCTAAACCCTAAACCCTAAACCTAAACCCTAAGCCCTAAGCCCTAAGCCCTAAGCCCTAAGCCCTAAGCCCTAAGCCCTAAACCCTAAACCCTAATCCAAGTATTGGTCCCAAGATGAGCCCTGGGCCTTACACTCAGGACGCTCCACCTTCTTCTACACCCTAAACCCTAAACCCTATACCCTGAACCCTGAACCCTAAACCCTAAACCCTAAACCGTAAACCCTAAACCGCCCTACAACCCCTCAACCCTAAGCCCAGCAACCCAGGCTTTAGGGGATAGGCTGCGGTTTTCATGTAGGGCTTAGGGTTCAAGTTTGTGCGTGCTCCGGGTTTAGGGTTGAAAGTTTAAAGCTACTGGGGGTTTAGAGTTTAGGGTACATGGGAGAGGCATGAGGGTGCTAAATGGGCGTTCGTGGCAAGAAAGGCCGCATGAAGAGGCGCCCTGAAAGGGAGATATGTCAAGGGGGTACGGTACTCATAATTTGGAATCATAGGTTACAGGACTACTCTAGTCGCAATGTAAATGTCTGTTGTATGCAACTACAAGCAGAAACAAGCCTAAAGCATAATTACACACAATGATGGCGGCCATGAGTACACAGGAGAGTGAATCGCTCCTGTAGCCGTGAGCCTTTCTTTGTAGGCTTCCCCGGGCTCAGCCCTGCCCGAAGAGCACCTCCTTCCTCCTCCCTCCCTTGCGCTCGGGCGACCGCGCCTGTGCAGACTGTTGTTGGGAAAGTCAGGCATCTGCTTAAGTTTTCGTGGATCTGCAAAGCTGTGATGTCTGTGACCTGTACCTTCTGCAAGTGTCCAGCGCGCATTTGGATCCGAAGGGTTAGCCGCTGATGCGATTTGGATTGCATGCAACCTGCCACGTGCAAGCCAAATTGCAGTTGGCATCGTTGAATTGAGCCAAGTTTCAGTATGTCTTACCTGCTACGGCGCCTTGTCCTTATCAAGTGGCAGTCTTTCCTGTTTGTTTGCGTGTTCAGTGTTCGCCCACAGTGATGGAGCAACGGGGCTCCCTCTGCACCTGGCGCACGCCTTGGGTCGCGCCTGCGCGAGCCCTCCGTGCTTGGAGCATAGCTCCCTCGGCACTGGACGCACAGCTTTGCCCCCTGGTTTGCGTTTGGAGCCCTAAACCCTAAACCCTAAATCCCGAATAATCTGACCCATCTTATTGTTGCTATGTTTTGCTTGTTGACATCGTCCGGCTCACTTCTTCCTGTAGCCATCTTAAGGGCTGTTGCAGTTGTGACACATCTGCATAAACCAGATAGTCACCGACTTGAACTCTGAACCCTAAACCCTCTGATCCCTTTGGGGCCCTTGTTATAAGGCGGCCCCCCCTAAACCCTAAACCCTAAACCCTAAACCCTAAACCCTAAACCCTAAACCCTAAACCCTAAACCCCTCTTATTTAGGAAGCAAGGGCTCAGAGGCTAGTAGTACAACTGCGTCCAAGTGCAGCGAAGCGACCTGCTCTATGCCTCATGGAGACAGAGACACAAGTGGGGTTTAGGGTTTAGGGTTTAGGGTGTAGGGTTTGGGGTGTAGGGTGTAGGGTTTAGGGTTTAGGGTTTCGGGTTTAGGGCTTAGGGTTTAGGGTTTAGGGTTCTAAAGATGTCACTCTTCTCTCTGCATAAGTGTAAAGGCCAGAGGGTCTGTGGGAAGGCCAGCCAACATGAGCTGGAGAAGACCTGGGCCCCAACCCTAAACCCTAAACCCTAAACCCTAAGCCCTAAGCCCTAAACCCTAAACCCTAAACCGCAGCCTTCCCAGGTGGCGTGGTTGTTCGGCATAGACTATTCCTCATGTCCCTCGAACACCCCGGACCCCCAAAATACTTGGGTTACCCAAACCCCCTAGCGTTTTGGGTTTAGGGTTGAGGGTTTAGGGTTTAGGGTTACCCTAAACGCACTAAACCATTAACCGCCAAACCCTGACACCCTCAAACCCAAAAACCCCAAAACCAAACCCCTTAAACTCAAAGTCCTTAAGCCCTATAAGCCTAAGCCCTTACTAGTTGCAGGCTGCCCCCCCCCTTCCCCGGAAACCCGACCGACATGGGTCACAGCTCAGCTTTCTAATAAAGCATGTTACCGGGACTTCGGGAAATTTGGGGTTTAGGGTTTAGGGTTTAGGGCTTAGGGTTTGCAGGGTGTTACATGTTATAGCCTGTGAAGGCACTGAATATGACCAGATTTCCGGGTTCCTCACTAAGAACCACGAAGCCCGGGGATGCTGTAAACCCTAAACCCTAAACCCTAAACCCTAAACCCTAAACCCTAAACCCTAAACCCTAAACCCTAAACCCTAAACCCCAAACCCAAGGCAGAACATATCATCTCTCCAAGCCGCGCGAGTCGCACAAGGACTCACCTTAACTGCTCTTGGAACGCGTTTTAATATATGAAAAAGACACAAGGTAAACCCTAAACCCTAAACCCTAAACCCTAAACCCTAAACCCTAAACCCTAAACCCTAAACCCTAAACCCTAGAAAGAAGGATTCCTGTGGGGACTCGCATGCAAGGCGATGGGCGAGGTCGTACACTACCCTTGTTTAAACCCTCGTCTTTAGGGTTGACGTTTAGGGTTTGGCGTTCATGGTCCCCTCTCCTCATGACAACTTCAGGAAGGGAGCTCCCTGGTGGGATACTTTTTGTTTTCAGGCTTCTGTAAGGGGTATATATGAGGGCAGGCAGGGTTTAAGGTTTAGGGTTTAAGGTTGCCCCCCCCCCCCCCCCCCCCCAAACAAAAAAAAAGGGCATCCTGGTTCATGGTGGGTTTTTGGATTAGGCTTGGTGTCCCCCTTAGATACTATGGGGGAGCGGGGGGAGGGGCGACTACGGTACGCGCAGCGTGGGCGCATACAAGGGGCATATGGGGGGGGGGACCCCTAACCCTAAACCCTAAACCCTACCCTAAAACCCTAAACCCTAAACCGAGAAAAAGCACGAACGTTGTTTTTGCCAGAGCTGTCGAGACACTGTGGCGATCATTCCACCATGTGGTGCCGTTACCCATGTCGATGGTTCTGTTCTGTCAGGGGGCATCGCTTGTGATCCATGTGAAAAAGACTCATGGGGTTTAGGGTTTAGGGTTTAGGGTTCAGGGTTGAGGGTTTAGGGCATTGCACTGAGTCACGGCCTAAATCCCTACCCTAAACCCAAGAGAATAGCTCCTCCGCCACCTGCGCAAAAATCCCAAACCTCCAAAAGCCTACGCCCAAAATCAACCTAAAAGCCCCCTGACCTCCCAAAAATCCCCAAACCCTACATCCCGAATCCTGAGACCCTCAGAAGACCTCCAGCTTTAGGCTTCATCTGGAGTCTACAAGGCTTAGTGCTCAGGATTTATTCTGCGACTCTCAGCTGCAATTCAGCTTAGACTTATCTTGCAGCATTCAAGCGGAGGGTATAGGGGGTTGGATGGTCTGAGGGCTTTGGGCATATCTGGGGGCGCCCGAGGGGGTGCACAAGCCCCCTTCCTAAGCCACTTCTATCATGGCATCCTGGATCATTTGTGCTGGAACGTCCGTAGATTTCATGAAGTATCGGTTAACCATGCAAGTTGATCGGTTGCGAAGAGAACCCTGAGCGCCAATCTACTTGAACACTGAAAGATCGCGCAGCCCCACCCCAGAAACTCTAAACCCATGAGCCAGGACACGTACTCGAAATTGCCGGTGGGGCCTGTCCTGGGTAGCGAAGGGGTAGCACAGAACCCCAAGCCCCACACCATCTTCCTGAACTTCGAATCCCTAAACCTTAGAGCATAAACCCAGCTTCCGCAAACCCGACCCTAAACTGAGTTTCCTAGACCCTGGCCCTAGACCCTGCAGTAGAGTAACTTCCCTCATCCCTCCACCTAAACCGGACAACGTAGCATATCAGCAGTTCGCTGAATGACAATCCTTTTTGGGCCACTGTTTTCGCACGCCCTATCTATTTAGGGTATGACGCCAGACTTCACCCTAAACCCTAAACCCAAACACCCTACAAGCAGGTAACAACTCGAAGGCCGATACTAAGTAGGGTTTATATTTCTTGTATCCCCACAAGGACACCCAGTATATACACTCACCAATATTAAAAAGGAACCTTACATACACTCACCAATAACAGCAATACAAACCCTGTTTCATATAGGGCTTTGCAAGTAGCTTCTCTTCGTAGGGTTATGAGTGCCCTGAGTTGTGCCATCCTGACTTACATCTGAACACACAATGCCCCTAAAACCTAAACCCTAAAACCCTCAAACCCTCAAACCCAAAAACCCTAAACCCTAAACCCTCCTAACCAAGACCTAAACCCTAAATGCCCTAAATCCTCCTAACCAAGTTCCCTGAGCCCTTGAGGCAGGCACTTGTTCGCCCACCACTTCTCGTAGTCCTTTATGCCTGGCATGGACAAGGGAGTCAGGGGTTGTAAGGTCGTGCCTTGGAGAGATGGGGGTTTAGGGTTTAGGGTTTAGGGTTTAGGGTTTAGGGTTGTGAGCGTTTGAGGTTCTGAGGTCTTGTCTTGGGGAGATGAGATTCTAGGGCTTAGGACTTTCCGGCTCCTCCAGGCTTTTGCAGTTGACAAAGGAGACCCAAAAGGGCATGCTTTGTCGTTTTCACTAGGTTTGCACAAGGGGTGGGTACTGCTGGGCGTCCTCGTCTTAGGGGCTAGAGGTTTCCAGTAAGGAAGCAGGTCTTAAGCTCCAAGCCCTATCTATAAGCCCTAATTTTGGGGGCTCTAAGGAATACACCCTGAACCCGAAACCCGAAACCCTGAAACCTATAAGCCCTAAGCCATTCCCCGAAGCCCTGTAGCCCTAAAATGGGATTTTACGGAACATTTTTAAGCTTCTGGACACTAGGTTGCCCAAGCAACCTACACAGTACCTCCAGGAGACAATGGGGTAGCGTTTCTGGTTAGCGTACTGCCGGGGCTCAAAAACATCAAAAAAAACAAACCCATAACTGAACCCAAACTAGGGTCTGTAGCGTGGATTGGCGGTTTAGGGTTTGGGGCCCTTTGTTGTCGGTTCTGCACATGGTGGGCCATCTGCTGAGGGGATTCTCTAGACATAAGAGGCCGTGTTCGAACGGGGAACCCTAAACCCTAATCCTTGACCCCTAAACCCTAAACCCTAAACCCTAAACGTGCCCTGACTGGTGGAGGCCTCGGAGTCTCTGCAGCGGAGCGACAAAAAACAGCTTTAGTATGAACCCGAATCCCTAAACCCTCAACCCTCAACCCTAAACCCTGAACACTAGACCTTACTACTAAAACCCAACAAACAGCCCCCAACATGTTTCCGATACGCTTAGTTGCCGATAAGGCCCCCGTGGGGTGGTAGAATTTTCGGGGGTTTCGGGTTAGGGCTTAGGGCTTATCTACGGCTTAGGGTTTAGGGCTTAGGGGGTTTAGGATTGGAATCCCAGGCCTACCAGCTCATCAAGCTCTACCTGCCCAGGGGCAGACACTCCGTGCAGGGTTTAGGGTTCAAAGGGTTTAAGGTTGAGGGTTTAGGCTTTGTAGAGTTTGGGGTTTACGGTAATTAGGGTTTTGGGATTTAGGGTTTGTAGGGTTTGTAGGGCATTGTAGGGTTTGAGGTTTACAGGGTTTACAGACTTTGCAGTGTTTACGGGGTTTAGGGTTTGCTTCTGTTGCGCTGTCTAGAGCTCACGGTTGACTCTCTTTCTTTTGTTTGTGGTGGTGGTGGGGGGGGGGGGGGCAATTCCCTAAACCCTAAACCCTAAACCCTAAACCCTACTTGTTTCGGAAAAGTCTAAGGCCCTGGGCTTGAACTTAAACACCCCTACCCTGTATAACTACACTTTGAAAAAAGAGAGTAACTATACTTAAATATATATATATTTATTTATTTATTTATTTATTTTACATATACTATACTATACTCATACATGTATGTATATCCACAAAAAGAGAAAGGGAAAGGGAGAGGGGAAGAGAGAGAGAGAGAGAGAGAGCCATAGAGAGAGAGAGAGAGAGACCTAGAGAGAGAAACAACGACAAATAGAGAGAGGGACACACACACACACACACCACAACCACGCACATGCTCTCTCTCCGCTCTATGCGACCCCTGCAAGGTCTCTGATAAGAGGACAACCAGCTCTGAAGTCACACTCGCTCGGAACGGATTGCAACGTTTTGTTGGCTTCTGCGTGGCTCTTCTGCAACCGGGGAACCTCACCCTTGAACAAAAGGTAGCCCTGGGGGTCCTCTGTGGGCTCCCAAGTTTGTCCCTAAACCCTAAACCCTAAACCCTAAACCCTAAACCCTAAACCCTAAACCCCAAACCAGGCACTCTCAGGCCCCTGCCAGTCCCGCGTAGCGGGTGTTGTAGGTGCAGGATGAGGTGCCATCCGGGCTGTCGCACTGCGCACCTCTGAGGAGCAGGGCTTCCCAAAGAGGGGGTGCGGTTTAGGGTTTAGGGTTTAGGGTTCAGGGTTCAGGGTTTAGGGTTTAGGGTCTGGGGTTAACTCTAGAACACCAATTTGTTGAAAATAAAAATGAAAACTTAACCCAACGAATGTGACCCCAGCGACCATATAAACCCTATGATCCCTCTACTCTAAACCCTGCAAACCCTAGAACATTGGGATTGGATGGATTTACTGTGGGTTCCCCAGAGACTTGATGGGCATGGTGGGCGGAATTTAGGGTTTAGGGTCTAGGGTTTAGGGGGTAGGGTTTAGGGTTTAGGGTTTAGGGTTTAGGGTTTAGGGTTTAGGGTTTAGGGTTTAGGGTTTAGGGTTTAGGGTTTAGGGTTTAGGGTTTAGGGTTTAGGGTTTAGGGTTTAGGGTTTAGGGTTTAGGGTTTAGGGTTTAGGTTAGGGTTTAGGGTTTAGGGTTTAGGGTTTAGGGTTTAGGGTTTAGGGTTTAGGGTTTAGGGTTTAGGGTTTAGGGTTTAGGGTGTAGGGTGTAGGGTGTAGGGTGTAGGGTGTAGGGTGTAGGGTTCAGGGTTTAGGGTTTAGGGTTTAAAATTAAGGGTTTAGGGTTTAGGGTGTATAGAAGGGAAGCTCGCTGCAACTTCCTGCAGGAAGGAGCGCACAGTCGCGGGTGCGTGCTGCGGCTGCCCCATGATGCCGCGCGAGTCACTTCATGGCCTGCAACGCCTGTAGGGCCCCAGGGCCATACCGAAGAGATCGGTCAGCACCTTGCCCTGATGCCCCGAGGGCCCGTCGGGATCCGGGTCGCGAGGGTCCCTTGACCCCTTCCGCTCGGGCGCGTCTGGGGAGCGCGCTTTCTTTTTCTTCTTCTGCAGCGCGGCCTTTTCGTTCTCCTCCTCCTTACAGCGCGGCCGCGGCTGGGAAAACACTCTCCATTCCGCATGTTGCGGTTTAGGGTTTAGGGTTTAGGGTTTAGGGTTTAGCGTGTAGGGTTTAGGGTTTAGGGTTTAGGGTTTAGTGTACCCGAATCCCAACAACCAGGAGAGTTGGTCATCCATGGTCGTCGGTGCTCTTGAATCTGGACCAAAGCTGAGGTCAGCATCCAACTTCCTTCTGGGGAAGCAGTTCAGGAGCCTAAATAAATACCAAGATTTTTCCCCTTACGGCCCCTACATATGAGAAGATAATCAGCTTGTTTCCCTAAACCAGAAACCCTAAACCCCAAACCCCAAACCCTAAACCCCAAACCCTAAACCCTAAACCCCCCCCCCCCCCAAACTGAGCTTCCGGCTGGGGTACTCCTGCTTGCACTCGTCCTCAGTTGATGGAGGGAGTCCGCAAGCCCCCCACAAACCAGACCCAAGTTGGGGGTTCATGGGTACTTAGAACCTGAACCACAGGGTTTAGGGTTTAGGGTTTAGGGTTTAGGGTTTAGGCTTAGGGTTTAGGGTTCCGGTTTTAGGGTTTAGGGTCTACCTATAGCCTACGTAGAGGACTTAGAGGACTTTTACGTGCCCATGAGCCTCCAAGTATGCCAGAAACATTCATGCTTCAATCTGCTAGATTCATGGGCTTCCAAGTCGTGAACCTACAACCTAAACCCTAAACCCTAAACCCTAAACCCTAAACCCTAAACCCTAAACTCTAAACCCTAAACCCCACTCTGGATCCCACTCCCTCAGGGTTTTCGCCGCCGGTCATCCTAAACCCTAGGCCCTGAACCCTATACGTCGCTTAACCCTCAACCGTAGCCATCCCTGAACCCTACACCCTACACCCTAAACCCCTAAACCCTAAACCCTAAACCCTAAACCCTAAAGCTGCTGCTGAATACGGGGGTCGGGCTTCCCAGGCCGAATTGTTCATGCGGCGACTGCATTTTCTGAGCAGACACAAAACTTACCACCCGTAGCCCTGAACACAACAACCCCTAAAGCGTGAACACCCTAAACCCTAAACCCTCAAGCCTAAACCCTAAACCATAAACTCTGACCCTAAACCCTATACCCTGAAACCCTAAACCCTAAAGCCGAAACCCTAAACCCTAAACCTGCCAAGCAGCCGTCTTCTTGTACAGACTCTTCGAGGGACACGCGCCCGGCAGTGAATACCAGGTGCCACTGATGCACTCCTGGGGGCATGGGGTTCATAGTTGGGATAGTAATAAACATTTAAAATTTTATTCTTATTGAGTTTAAGTACCCTTAAAAATGTAAAATGTTATCCCACTATGACAAAGGCATGGGGATGTGAAGAGGGGCTTAGCGCTAAGGATTTAGGGTTTAGGGGGTAGAAAAGTGTCAGGAGCATGATCCTCTTAGCTTAGGATTTAGGGGTTAGAGGGTAGAAAAGTGTCAGGAGCATGATCCTCTTCCACCCAAGAAGGGAAATGCAAAAAATCCCAAGGGGCTGCAAACCCCCGGATTCTTGGGGTCCATGTGAGTAGTTCTCTAAATTAGGGTCTGGTGATGATGATGATGATGATGATGCTGGTGATGATGATGATGATGATGATGATGATGATGATGATGATGATGCTGGTCCCTTTTTTGGGGGCCCTATATAGGAACTCTAAACTAGGGAACGGGCCAGATACTTCACTATTAGCGTTCATCCCGCCTGGACAAGGGAACCCCTTTGATGACTCAACCCTTTTTGCAACTCTAAACCCGAGACCCCAACGCCCCTCCCCCCCAACCCCCCGCCCACAATCGGGCTCGTTCAGCTGAATCTCTAGGGATTCGGGGTCAGCGTTCAGGGTTTGGGTGTCTTTGGCTAGGTCCTGGAGTAGCCCGGAACAAGCAGGGCACCGTCTTTTGTTCAAAGGGCGTCATGCAAATCTAACAAAAGCGAATCTGGGTCCTAGTTGGGGCCTTGAAGGCTTCGGGTCTTGTTTGGGGTTTAGCGTTTAGGGTTCCGAAACCCCAAACCCCAAACCCCAAACCCCGAACCCTAAACCCTAGACCCTAAACCCTAAACCCTAAACCCTAAACCCTAAGCCCTAAACCCTAAACCCTAAACCCCCAACCCTAAACCACTGCAGACTGAAGGGCTGGGCTGTCTGCTGGGATGCAGTTGGTGGCCGGCATCTGCAGAGCCCGAGCGTGGCGATTTTCGGGATCAGGGCTTGTGGGTTCAAGGGGCTTGGGTTTAGGGTTTAGGGTTTAGGGGTTTAGGGTTTAGGGGTTTAGGGGTTTAGGGGTTTAGGGGTTTAGGGGTTGAGGGGTTGAGGGGTTGAGGGGTTGAGGGGTTGAGGGGTTGAGGGGTTGAGGGGTTGAGGGGTTGAGGGTTTAGGGTTTGAGGGTGGTAGGCCTTTTTTGAAGGTTCGGGCTTGGGGCTTCGGATTCTTCAGGGTGGGGGGTCGTCAAGGGTCTTTATGGGGAAGTTGGGGGGGGGGGGGGGGGGTGTGAAGGGTTACCCCAAAGACCCTCATTTCACCGCACCCCGACAAGCGTCAACGCAAGGATGCCCAAACTCTAACCCTAAACCCTCAACCCTAAACCCTAAACCCTAAACCCTGAACCCTAAACCCTGAACCCTGAACCCTGAACCCTGAGCCCTAAACCCTCCTTTCCCCCCTTCCCGGCGGAAGACCCTGCGCCGGTAGTTGAACTCCAGGATCTCCACGGCCTACACTGGGGGGGGGGGGGGAGTGCATCTAGCAAGCCTTGGGCTTCTCCTGGGGCTTCTTCTAGGGCTTCTTGAGGGTTTAGGGTTTATAGGGTTTAGGGTTTAGGGTTTAGGGTTTAGGGTTTAGGGTTTAGGGTACAGGGTTGTTCCAGGCCTTCTTGAGGGCTGCTTCTGGGGCTTATATGGTCCTTGCGATAAGGGGACTCCTACTATTTTGGGGTCAAATTAGAGGTGCCTTATTTCGGAAACCCCCCATATCTTCTCCTGGCTGATTCTTAGTAAAGCAGGGAATGATGGAATGATTTACCCTGTATAATCCCTTAAAGGGTAGACATAGGGCACCCATCCCCTCGTTCCCTACTAAAACCGAGGGGGTCTGGTGAAACCATGAATCCCACCACTCTCATCTTCTCATAGCCCTAATCATGGTCGGAATCGCCCTCTTCAATCTGACCACTGAATGGGGTTTTGGGTTTTGGGTTAGGGTTTAGGGCTTAGGGTTTAGGGCTTAGGGTTTAGGGTTTAGGGTTTGGGGTTTGGGGTTTAGGGTTTAGGAGGAAAGGACCCAAAGCTGTAGTACCACCCTCAGAGAGCGCCTGGCATCCAACGGCAGGGCCATACTCGTCGTAGTCCTCCATGCCTCGCGAAGGTTTCGGGATTTTTGGAAGCCTTTCATGGTTTAGGGGTTTAAGGTTTTGGGTTTAGGGTTTCAGGTGTTTAAGGTTTGCGGTTTAGGGCTTTGGGTTTTGGGTAAACGTGTGCTCTCAAACCTCCCTATGCACCAAATATCTAGATTCTTTTGCCACCTATCAGTGACCTCGACTTATTTTGCTCCTCCTTCCATATGCATGCGGGATCAAAAACTGACTTCGGAGGCCCACAAAGTTCCCATGCCTGAGCATTCCTTGAGGTTTAGGGCCTAGCGTCTGCAACACCTAAGCCCTAAACCGTACACCCTGAACCCTCAACAAGCCGTAAACCGTAAACCCGCAACCCCGCAAATCTGAAAGTCCCACGGCCAGTCCTGAAAAGGTTACAAACCCTGTAATTGCGGCTTGCGGCTCAATTGGGGCTTTAGGGCTTTAGGGTTTGAGGGTTTAGGGCTTATGAGGTTACAAGGAAGTTGCCCTGAGAAAAGCTTTTGGGTTGGGGCTTGGGCTTTATCAGTTGTTGTGGTCTAGGGTGACCCGCCCCTAGAAGCCACTTTGTTTCTAGCTGTGTCCTTGAAGTGTATAGAAACTTTAATTTTAAGGGCTTGGACTTAAGCTCGACGCGCAATGACGGGCACGATGGGGGTCTCAAGAAAGCCAAGGTGCAGCTTGTCGCCGTACCTGGCTGCGCATCGGCTCTCCCGCAGGGTTTCCAACGTAGCTCATATCGGGCATGGGGAAAGCGGAGCAAAGGGGCGGGGCTCGAAAATGGAATGGGGGGAAGGGCGGGGTTTTAAGGGGTCCTTAACGGAAAGCAAGGGGTCAAGGCCCCTGAATAGTGCTATCAGGTGCTGATGCTGGAACGGGGGAAAGCAGCAGCTTCTTCGAGAATCATTCAAAGAAGCTGGATGCTGCAGGGTTGTCGTTTTGGGGGGGGGGGGCAGGGTTGCGGGTGTAGGGTTTAGGGTTTCAGGTTTGTCAAAAGTTCACATTTCTATAGCAATAGTTCTTGTCACGAAAGTTACTACACGTTGTACTAAGCCATTGATTTGACTAGTACTGGAGACTGAATAGGCCACTCATGTGACAATTTCCGGAGCCTAGATCATCACCTGTGCCAGGCCGCAAACTCCGAAGCACTGAAAAACATGACAAAAAAAACACCACTTCGAGCGTCCCCACCCTGTCCATATAACCAGACAACAAGGGTTTACATTCTGGTGCCGGCCCGGGCGTTAGTAAGCAACATCGTGACTTACAAGGTTTTAGGAGCCCACAGCATCTCCCCTGCCCACCCAGGCCTCGGATTTGGGGTTTTGGGGTTTAGGGTTACTAAGTGTTGTCTAAGCCCCGGACCCTAAGCCCCGAGCCGCACACCCTAAGCCTGAGCCCTAAACCCTAACCCCTAACCTAAACCCCACATACCCCACACACTAGACTTAGTAGCCCAGGAAGCATCACAAGGGCACCCTTTTGGGGTTGGCTACTTTATCAGGGAACCCAGAACCAAAAAAAGGGTCAAGGGTACCACTGGCCTACCGAGTCAAACCCTAAACCCCAAACCCTAAACCCGAAACCCTGAACTTCCCTAAACCCTAAACCCACACACTAGAGGAACACGCGCAGGTGCGCGAAAGGAAGAGCCAAGGAGCACTGCCCACTATCGAAGGCTCCAAAGGGAGCAAACCTCTCATGGCCGTTGGTTCCGGTGTTTAGGTTTATAGGCTTTTTAAGGTTTAGAGGGTTTAGGGTGTAGAGGGGTTCAGGGTTCAGGGTTCGGGCTCAGGGTCATTTTTGGTGTGCCTTCAGAACCCAACACCGTTTCTTGGTAGGTTATGACTGTAAAACCACAATTCTAGGCTTCTTAGGTCACGTACAAAAAGAAAGGTAGGTTTTGGAGCTCTTCAGGAAGCTTGCAGGGTTTGACTCACCGACTGTTTCATGGGTTGCTGACAAACTGTGGGGTTGCCCCCTAAGGGCCCCCTCAACCCTCTAAAACCCTGAGCCTCTTAGGGTGCTTCGAAATCCAGCCTCAGAAATTGCGACTTGACAACATTCTGAGGCGGCTGAATTTCGAAGGTTTCTGGGGTTGAGGGCCCATGAGCGCTGTTCACTCGAGGATTCGTAGGGCTTGAAGCGAACCCCAACCCTCTCCGAAAAGTCTGGGAGCTGCTTGCCGTAGCCGGAATCGCCATAGATCATGTGTTGGTGCTGGAAGGTCTTGTCCGGATTTTTCACCTCAGTGGCGCAGGGTTTAGGGTTTAGGGTTTAGGGTTCAGGGCGCAAGACATACTGCAGCCAGAGCCTGACAAATAAACAAGCTCTGAACCGCTGTTCAGTGGGTTCATTGGTTTAGGGTGTTTTTGGGGACCAAATTAACCTATGGAAAAAGCCCCATGCCCTGATTCGGGAGACAAATCGGTCACGGCTTCTTTGCGGAGATTGGCGCTTTTGGGCACAGGGCTTCAGGCCTAATCGCCTCCTTGAAAAAAGCGAAGAGAAACGGGCTCAGCGTGTAGGGTTTGAGTATGGATGGCTTGAGGTAGAGGTCTTAATGGCTTCGGGAGCTTTGCACTGCATCTCCGCAGTAGCCGATTAGGTTTTCCATAACCTTATAGGGTTCAGGGTTTGGATGTTTGGGATGTTCTCGTTTATACTAGCAGTCCGCAATGGGGATTATCGTACCCCCTGACAAGAATCCCGATTCAGGACTGTTAGTATGCAAGGGAACATCCCAAGGGTCTAGGGTTTTTTGGGCGGTAGATCTTCACAGACATGCCCAGTTGTTGTTGAACCCTGCTGGCGCTCCAGAGGGAACTAGGTACCTCAGATGCCCCCATGGAATCCAATAAGGGATGCGGGGCACCTGATTCCTCTCATGTCCCTATGCAGGGCCAGAAAGCAACTGTTTCGGGCTGATTCCTCGTGAGCTTCTGATGAAGGCAGTGGGAGGCCAGGAATCCCAAGAACACCTGGACTCACTAGTTCTTAGTAGGGAGTTAGTAATTTAGGCACCCAAAATCATCCCTTCCAGAGCTATAACCCGGTTTAGGGTTTAGGGTTTAGGGTTTAGGGTTTAGGGTTTAGGGTTACCATATGTCGGGATAGCAAGTACCTCATTTCCACTACAGAAGCGCTACTGCCACCCTCCCAAAACGGAAACACGGTCCCGTGCAACAAGGAGGCAACAACAAAGCAAACAACTGCGACGGACAAATCCCCCCACCCTATAAGCCCTAAACACAAAACCCTAAAGAACCCGTCATGTCGTGTACAGCCAGGCAGCCGTTACGAGGTATCTCAGAATACCTTGGCAAACACGCTGCTTTTGGGCGGAGATGAAGCCCAGTTCCAACATTGAGCAGAAGTTTCATGCAGACAGAGTTCACTTAAGCCAGGTACTCTGCGCAACCTTAACCCTACATGCAGATCGTCATCACCCCATGTGCCCCATTATAGCCCCAAACCCTAAACTCGAAATCCTAAACCCCAAGCCCCAAACCCTAAACCCTAAACCTAAACCCTAAACCCCATACCCGAAATCCAAAACCGAACCCTGAACCCCCAAACCCGGCTTACCGGCTGCATTTGCAGAGCAAGCCGGCTGCACCACCGGGATTCACTGTGGGGTTTAGGGTTTAGGATTTAGGGTTTGGGGTTTGGGGTTTAGGGTCCGAAGACAAAGGGGGTAACTTCTCCGCACTTCTCTATCTTAAACCCTTATTGCAAACCCTGACCCCCAGTTTTCCTAAATCCTAAACCCTGAAAAACCGGTAAGCACCCTTGTCAACCCTAGACCCTAGACCCTATAGACCCAAAACCCTACGCCCTGAACACCTAACTGATTTCTCATTAAGAACCGGCATTTGAATTGAGGCATGACCCTAAACCCAGAACCCTAACCCTGGGGGTCCATGTACCTTATTATTATATACTTGGGCCCCAAAGTCCTTGTATAGGAAGTACTTTAAGGCCGAAGTATTCCCTATTGGGGTACATGGACCCTTGCACAACCCTAAACCCTTAACCCTTAAACCCTGAAACCCTGAAACCTGAGGGTTTAGGGTCAACTCTCCGAAGGGGTTGAAGACCCCAGAGTCGACGGAGACATGACCAGGCTGCTGGAGAGATCAGGATTCGGCTTCTATACTCCCCCTAAACGCTTGATGAAACAAAAATGTGTTTATGCTTCCCTTGGGGTATACATATATATATATATATAAATTCTGAAAAAAAAAACAGAATTCCTAAGGGGGGCTCTGAGGCTTCGGGTTTAGGGCTTAGGGCTTAGGACTTCGGGGCTTAGGACCTTTGTTTAGGGCTTCGGATGTACAGGAAGTAGGCAGGAGGGCTGAGGGCTGAGGCCTTGGGATTTGCAGGTTGGAGGGCTTAGGGTGTGTGACCCTAAACCCTAAACCCTGAACCCTAAACCCTAAACCCTAAACCCTAAACCCTAAACCCTAAACCCTAAACCCTAAACCCTAAACCCTTCTGGTATAGGGTGTGCTCAGGAGTGAAGCCTGTGGGATTCAAAGCGTTTTTAGGTTCTCAGGGGCTTAGGGTTCTAGGTCTTTAAGGTTCGAAGGTCCAGGTTATTGGGGGTTGAGGGTTTTAAGGCTTAGGGGGTTCGGGGCTTAGGGTTCAGTTTTTAGGGCTTGCAGGGTCTGCTCATCCGTTTGCCGAGTTTCGCGTGATGTTGTACTTCCGTGGGACTGATGCCACAACTTCCTGCCCGAGGCCCAGGGTTCAGGGTTAAGCTGATTGAATGGAGCCGTCCATGACCTCTGTGATGAGGGTTCGTGCGGCATAGATCCTAGCACTGACACACAACATCCTGAGCCCCTAAACCCCAAACCCCAAACCCCAAACCCTAAACCCTAAACCCTAAACCCTAAACCCTACTTCACAGGGAGCTTCGGGCCCGGCGTTTAGAGTCCGCGCATACAGCCTGCTACCTTCTGTGTAGTATCGCGCATATTTCACCCGCCCCTTTGAGCCGACTTGAGATCATTGCAGCCCTCCCTAAAGGGATGTTCTGCGCGAGTGGAACCGTAAGCAGGAACCCTTCCCAAAAACAAAAACTTACAACTGAACCCCTTAAAAAAAACCCTAAAGTCCTCAAAGAGCCCTGTTAAGCCTCAGTTTCAAGCCCCTAGTCCCTAAAACGCCAGAGCCCTCAACCTTCAACCAGACATTTCCCGTGCCTGGGCTCCAGAAAAGCTCACAAGCACACCCGAGCTCGACCACCCGTACTTGGCGTATACTCCCCTTAGAACCTTAATAAACAGATCCTTTGTTAGTATCCTCTTGGGTTTTATATAAACGAAAACGAAAAATAATTCCCAAGGGGGATATCGTTGGAGGTTCAGGAAACTTATAACACCAGTTATAAGTGTACTTATAAGCCCCCTAAGTCCTCTGAGCAGGTTACAAGTAGACTGATATTTGGGGTTAACGGTTGTAAGTACCCATGAACCTCCAAGTGTTTGCAGCGTTCTTGCCTCTTCGTACAACATACGGCAGAAGGATGTTTGACGCTTCTGCAACACGCCGCAAATCGAAACAAGAGAAAGTAACAACGAACACGACCATGACAACACGACAAAAGGAATATTCAAACAGTAGACAAAACAATCACAACACAGTCACACAACAGTAGCTAGCAAACAAAATACAAAAAAAAACGCTACTAGACACAATAACCATTCAAAACAACAGTAACAAGCTTAATAAGT